ACACCCGATGCTCTGAATGTAATACTATCTTAGCCGTCCGATGTCTGTTTCTGCTATGCATTGATGATTAGTCAAATCCATTGCATTTTGGATGTTATTATGAGACACAAACTGTCAGCCACTGCTTAGTGTTATTTCGTTTTCCATTTAAAATGTTTCTACTGAATTTACAAGCTTAAAAAAAGTGTAAGCATATATTAAATGAACAATATTCATGTGATATCTTTACTCAATAGTTGTTACAATTATTGTTACTTGTAGATGATATAGTACTGTTCGTATGTAAATATACACACGCATTGAAAGCGCATTAAGGCTGTTAGTATCTATTGACAGCGCAAATGATTTGTTAAGGGAAGGAAATATTTACTGAAGTCGTTATGACTACATGGAAATTAAGCTTCTGAGGAATGAAAGAGAGGGACAGAGGAAAGGGCACACTTACTCATACATACTTATGTAAATAATAATAGCAAGAGAGAGAGAATAATCAATTGTTTACTAGGCCTATACAAATTCATGTTAACGAAGCTGACATTTTAAGATAGTCTCCCACTCACAAAAATAAGTGATGAAAATGAGACTTCAATATCAAGTGTTCATATCCTGAAAGGATGTCATTATGACTTATTTATTTAAAATTATAGAACAGAACGTCATTTTAAAAAGGTAAATATAATGGTAACGTTAACAGTTACAAACTGTGAACACAGTTTCTGTTTTTAAACAGCAAATCATCTCAGCTAAAAACTAAATACATGAAGACAGAATAAACACCAAACTCTTGCTTTAATGTTTATATATTTGATCAAAAAGGAACATACTTTTGAGGAAAGCCAATAAAACATTAAACAAAAGTTATAACGTGTATGTTTCGTGCCAGAGAGAGATTCATAGTCTACTGCGCTCGTCTTTCACCGTTATTGTGACGCAATGATCTAAACGACACTTCCTGGCAGAAGCGTGCTCACCCCAAAACAATGAAAGTACATTTCCACAGTCATACAATCTCAAAACAAACACCGACGAAGTGCACTAAGACAACGTGGATGCTCCTGGGTCGATAACAACCCAGAGGAAGTGATGCTTTGAGCCAGTCCACATCCATTTCCCTCATCCCCGTACCTTTCCTTTCTTTGAAATGAACGCGGGCAGAAACGCTCCAGGCTCCCGCAACAACTCCAATCTGAAGAGACAACAACAACAAATAACTTTATGCTTACTGTGGTTAGGAGGGGTTTCATCTGTTCAGCGCTATCTTCCTCCATTTGTTTAAACTGTGCACTTCTTCCGTCCCTCGCCGGAGACTGATTTGAATATGATATTTCGAAAAGCCCCTTCGCTCGTGTCACAGCCACTGAGAGCGTGTGAATGGTATTTTTACATATATCTGGGCTTGGCAAATCCCGCCCTTTTGGAGATTGACAGGTGATTTCATCCGCTCACTCTCGGGCGACCGGCTTTTTTTCTAGCCAATCACGTCGCCGGAACGACGCTAGTATATGAATATTAATGAGGAGCGGAAGAGTTGATCGACTATTGGTTGGCCTGCAAAATCCACTAGGGAAAAGAAAGAACTCGCGGTGAGGATGAGCGTGTGGAAAACTGAAAGTTTTGAAAGACGCATTATGGGGGTTTTTAAGCCTAATGTGTTGTAGAATGAGAGAGACAACAGTAAAAAAAAAAAAAGGGATGTCAAAAACTATCCAGCCTCTCAACAGCCCAAGCAGACAATTGTTGTACAGCAGGGGTCGTTAACCTTTACAGACTGACCACTACCTTGACTCCTAGCAAACCCAGAGACACAATATAGAAAGTTTATAATAACTTTCATTTAAAAACGTTATTGCATTATGCTAATCAGATCATTATTTAAATTTCATCCTAGTAGTTGCTAGTCCTGCAAGTATGTGCAAACCCTGCAATAATAAAGTGGATGACAAATAACACATATTGCTACTTATAGCCTAAGAAAATGTTTATATCTATACATATTGTTTATATTTATATATATTTTATTTTAGGTGCTCTAACGTTCTCAAACATTAACTCAAACTGTTTGCAGACCCTAAACGTATCATAGTATATTGTAGTTTTGAACTTCAAGTCAATATTTTCAAATCATTCAGTTTTACTTTAGTTCCCCACTGAAACATTTTTTAATGCCTAATAAAGGTCTATCATATTGCATATCGCAGCTGTAACTGGTTACTATTTCTTTTTGTCAACAATTCTTTCTAAATTGGTCCTTTGTTGTGGCAAATGAGGACTGAACAAAACAAGGCTCAAATGCTAAAGTGTTCTTGTCCTAAAGTATATGACAATTTATTTCTTTATTTATCGTTATTGATGGAGTAATAGATAAAAGTTTTGTTTTATTTAAAAAAAAAAACTTTTAGGCACAACTATGCATGACTACTAATATCACTGATTATGAAAAAAAGCTTTGAAAAAGACAAAAGACAAAATAAAGACATCTGAAAAAGACCGATTGTAATTTTTAAATATTTGAATATTTTAAATAAAATAGTAATTTCTTTGTTTCACGTTATGGCTGATATAGACTCGATTATTTATTTATTTTAATTATTATTATTATTATTATTTCACCAGACATTTCACGTACTGTAACTGATGCCAACCCAACTGAGAATGCATTTCTATCCTTGTACTGCAACACCCCCTAGTGGTTGAGAAGTTCTCTGCATGCATTATCCTTTCATATGGGCTACAGTAGTTGATGACCGTCTTTTAACGTAATGTCACATGACATTTTTCTGTGATTTTATTCCAACATTTAATTATTTAATTATTTGTTATTATTAGAATTTAAATAAAGGCATTTAAGTTAGGCTCCCTGTATTGTATTTTAACAAGCAAACTATTACAGTGATCAGATTTTACATTGATTTGATGTTAAAAAATACATTTACATTATGATGTTGAATCACTTATTTATCACTTACTTATTTATTAATCATTTGTTAATTATTTATTCTGATACTGAAGCTGGGACCTCTAGTCCTGTCACTCCAAAAACCTTGTCAGAAGTTGCAACTGAATCCACATCACCAGAAATCTCACACCAGAAAACCCCTTGGCTTTTCTGACACTGTCCTAGGACAGCAATACACATGATCATTGCTTACTCATTTGCATAATGTGCCATGCTAACTTTTTTGAGTTGACCCTTTTGACTCAAAATGCCTCAATATCATCAAGTCTCTTCAAAAAACGCCCAGCAATTAGGATATTTGTTCCTATCCTATAAAATCCTATTGTATAACTGGAATTCACCCAATGTTTACATGTGATGTTTAAGAATCATTCTCTTCATATTTTGTGGAGGTGGAGTCTTGTGAGCAGCATGACTTCTTACTAGGAAAACAAATTGAAAAACAAAATGAAAATGACTCCAGATAAACACACCATCAATAACGATTCATTTCACATCTTCACATACTACTAATCTGAATGGATTTTAAGCTGGGGGCTGAAAATTTGTTACACAGTGTAAGTATAAATGCCTCAATATCATCAAGTCTCTTCAAAAAACGCCCAGCAATTAGTTTTAATTTAGTTTAATAAGGAACAATTAATTTGTTCCTATCCTATAAAATCCTATTGTATAACTGGAATTCACCCAATGTTTACATGTGATGTTTAAGAATCATTCTCTTCATATTTTGTGGAGGTGGAGTCTTGTGAGCAGCATGACTTCTTACTAGGAAAACAAATTGAAAAACAAAATGAAAATGACTCCAGATAAACACACCATCAATAACGATTCATTTCACATCTTCACATACTACTAATCTGAATGGATTTTAAGCTGGGGGCTGAAAATTTGTTACACAGTGTAAGTATTCTGCACATTTAACATCTCTCTCTCTCTCTCTCTCTCTCTCTCTGTTTGTGGGTTAGGTAAAAGCTAGAATAAGCAGCTATAGTATTGCAAATAATACCATTGCAAACTATTGTATATAAATCCTCTTTATTTGTTCATTGTGTACTCAGTGTGGTTTTTGCAGAAATATACTGACTAGATGGCTGTTTTATATGATCATCCAGATCTTATGTGTTGTGACTGGCAGGGTCAAGTGAACATCTTAAATTCCAAACTTTCTTTGGACCAGCATAAAATCTCCTGTGTCATTGTCTTTAGGTTGTACTTTTAAGTTGCATTGAAAAAAAACCCTGAAATCTAAATCAGCTGTCTTTGCCGATACTGTTTGAGTACCTTGTGATGTGTCGTCTGAGCAACTCTTCCAGTAAATCCTGATTTTCAGCTGTGAGAATGTGCACAGTGAGATTTGCTTCCTCTTCCTCTTGGTTGACAGTAAAAAGAAAAGCATGCTTTTAACTTCTGTATGGTTAATAAATTGGAACTGATATTAGTATATTTGTATATAACTATGCATAACCACTTATGTCACTGATTATTGTAAAAAAAGTGACGTGACATGTGGCCAAGTATGGTTACCCATACTAGGAATTAGTGCTCTGCATTTAACCCATCCTAAGTGCACACACACAGCAGTGAACACACACCCAGAGCAGTGGCCAGGGAGCAGTTGGGGGTTTGGTGGCTTGCTCCAGGGCACCTCAGTCATGGTATTAAAGGTGGGAGAGAGCACTGTACATTCACTCCCCCCACCTACAATCCCTGCCAGACCTGAGACTACCGCAACCTTTGGGTTACAAGTCCGACTCTCTAACCATTAGGCCACGACCTATATAATATAATATATTATTATTATATTATAGAATTAATATTCACCTAAATGCTGATACTAGCATTTGTATTGCTAGATCTCAGTGCTGCATTTGATACTTGTGACCACAATATGCTCCTCAACAGACTGGAACAGAGGGTGTAGGACTGTCTGAGACACTTTTCACATTGGTCTTACACATCTTGATGTTGAAAATGGCCCTATCATTTACTTGCATTCTAAACTAAAGCTGGTACATCTAGTCCTGTCACTGCAAAAACATTATGTCAGAAGTGGGATTCGAACCCACGACCTCCTTACAGAGGACCAGATGTCCCAACATTGGATCTTAACATCAGTTGAGTCTGGCACCATGACCACTCGGCCATCCTGACATGGCAGGTTGATAGCGATAAACTTGATGATCCTTGCTTCCTTGTGTCATGTGAATAACAAATAATAAACAAATACTGCTTTTAAAATCTTTTGAGTTGACCCTTGTGACTCTAAAAGCCTTAAGATCAACAAGTATAATGTATAATAAGTATAATGCAATGTTTACATCTTAAAACAGTGTGACGTTTAAGAATAGTTCTCTTCATATTTTGTGGAGGCGGAGTCTTTCAGTCTGAGCTAAAAGACTTCTTACTAGGAAAAACAAAATGAAAATGACTCCTGACACATAGTCGATCAATAATTATTCATAAGTACCATATCTTCACATACTACATGGATTTTAATTTGGGAGCTGGAAAAGTATTACTTAGTGTAAGTATTCTGCTAATACTGTCTGTGTTTGTGGGTTAGGTATAAGGAATAAGCAGTTAGAACTAAATACTATTGCAAACTATCATGTATAAATCCTCTTTATGTGTTCAATGTGTACTCAGTGTGGTTATTGAAAAATATACTGAGTAGATGGTTGTTTTGTAAGTTCATGCAGATCTTGTGTTGTGACTGGCAGGGTCAAGTGAACAACTTCATTCCAAACTTTGCTTGGACCACCAGAAAATTCTGACGTCTCCTTGAAAAAAAAACTCTAAATCTAAATCAGCTGTCACTGCCAACACTGTTTGCTTACTTTGCTTACTTTTTTGTCTAAACAACTCTTCCAGTAAATCCTGATTTTCTGCTGTGACAATGTGCACAGAAACATTTGGTTCCTCTTCTTCTTGGTTGATAGTAAAGAGAAAAGCATGCTTTTAACTTCTGTAGGGTTAAAAAATTGGAACTGATAACAGAGTACATAAGTACATCAGAGTTTTTAACTGAAAACATTCGTTTCTTACAGTTCCCATCCCAGCACATATTTCTTTCAGTGCATTTAAAGATGCCTAGACGTGATGATGTGACCAGCTTTCTGCAGCAGTCACCTTTTGACCAGCGTGTGGTGTCTAAATTCCTGAAGATCAGGCCAAAGATTCTGGGGGTAAAACAAACTGAAACACTTGAATTTTTCATTTTGATTTGAGGGGAAATGAGGAAAAAGATGCTGTCTTGTTTTATATCTTAACAGGTTTTGGAAATATCAACAGGTATAACGATGTTAATCTTAACAATCTGGACAGGATTTTTATATCTCCTCTGGTCATGTTTAATTGTAAGTATTTAATGTCAACATCATAACAGCATTGTGCAATGAACATATGCTGAATAATATTCATTATCTTCACTGCAGTCGATTTTAACCGGATCTGTGACGGTGTCAGCTGCATGTACACGTAACACATGTCGGGTTAGTCTGAATATCTAATAAAAATTATTTAACTTTTTATTAGATTATAATGCATTACATTTTCCCCATTGTTCCCATTTCAGGTCAGAATCTCACAATTTCTAAACTGTTTCAATGCCATAGCAGCTGCTATCTCCATCCCACTTCACTGTCTTGACAGTGATGTAAGTGTCTGTATAGATGTCCTGCTTTCATTCTTACAAAATTAAAACATATCTGCAAAACTTACATTCTAACCAGACAAAGTGCTAATACTATCAACTATAAACATTGTTTTAATTTTAGCCTATTTAAGCTCCACACTAATATGTCCTTTGTAACATTTATATCACTCATGTGCAGTTTCTGTCAGCTTCTTAAAGAGAAATATTTATAACTAATAATAAAATGTGTTTTAGGTTATAATGTCTACTGTCTGTGTACTCACTCAGGGTGTGACTCTAATTCTCTTGGTTTTCTGTGATGCTCTGGTCTTCATCATCTCTGTTATAGTTGCCTCGTCTTCCTGTGACTGCTGCAGGATAAAGGTAAACAGATTCAGTTCAAAGATCTTACTTAAAACTGAAAAAAAAAATACTTTTGTCATTATTTACTTACCCTCATGCCATTCCAACCCCCTATTTTTCTAATGAAGATGAATGAGGACTGGCTCTTTCACTCTGCAAAATGAAAAAAAAGCACCATAAATGTAGTCCATATGGTCATGCTCACTATATATTATAAGCCTTCTTAAGACATAGGATAAAGCAAAGTCAGCCTTAGCTCTTCTTTTGAAAGATATTTTTTTCAGTGAATCAGATGAGCTTACAAAAACTTCGTCTTCCTGTGACTGCTGCAGGATGAAGGTAAACAGATTCAGTTCAAAGATCTTACTTAAAACTGAAAAAAAAATACTTTTATCATTATTTACTTACCCTCATGCCATTCCAACCCCCTATTTTTCTAATGAAGATGAATGAGGACTGGCTCTTTCACTCTGCAAAATGAAAAAAAAGCACCATAAATGTAGTCCATATGGTCATGCTCACTATATATTATAAGCCTTCTTAAGACATAGGATAAAGCAAAGTCAGCCTTAGCTCTTCTTTTGAAAGATATTTTTTTCAGTGAATCAGATGAGCTTACAAAAACTCACAAAAGCAGTCTGACATAAAAACAGTTACATTTAATGATTGTTTTATACTCTTAAGAAGCAACTGATTCAACCATGATATAAGAGGGAGTTTATTTCAAAATTAAGTTTACTACAATCAATTTTATAATAATTTATTTCTAAATGTGGAAATGCAGAAAGAATTGTATATTAGATTTACATGTTAGCACTTTCATTCACACAGAAAGAGGCACTTGTTATATTTCATCCTTATGATTATTTGACTGCATTTTTGAAAGAAGCAACCTCATTTGCCTATCCATTCTGATTAGTTAATTAACTGGCACTAGGTGTCACTACATCCCCTTTAGATTTACATGCAATAATGAATGCAACACAATAATGATGTTCTGTTTTTGTTGTGTTCTCTGTCTCTTTCAAGTCAAGACATGTTGCAGTCAGTTACATAAACCAAGATGTGCCTTATATGACTGGCAACAATATTGTGCAATCAGGCCCTTTTGCACCTCCACCAAACTATGATCCGAGTCCTTTAGAGCCTCCACCAAAATACCATCCAAGTCCTCTTGCACCTCCACCAAAATACTATCCATATCCTACACATCCAGCAAACTACAACCCAAGTTCTTCAGCACCGCCACCAAACGATGATCCAAGTCCTTCTGCACCTCCACCAATCTATGATCAAAGTCCTTCAGTTCCTCCACCAAACTATGATGCAAGTCTTTCTGCCCCTCCACTAAGTTATGATCCAGGTCTTTCTGAACCTCCACCAAGCTACAATCCATGTCCTTCTGCACCTTCAGTGAACTATTAGGTAATTAAGAGGCCATTTCTAGCCTGTTGAAGAAATCAGTTGCATTTTTGCAACAGAGCATTTTTCAAGCTCCTTACTTTCTGGATATAATTTATAATTTCCAAAGACACACTCTTAAAACAATGTGACAGTTCCATATTTTCAGCATTCATTTGTGTTACCTTATAAGCATTCTTTATAAGTGCACAAGTTCACAACTGTAAATGCTTTTTTTTCATTGTTTTTATAACCTTAAATTTGAGTTTGAAATTCTGTTATAATCGACACGTCACAGAAACTAACATTAGAGATTATATTGTATTTAATATTGTAATGTTAAACGCATTACTTTTTACTATAATTATTAGATGTATGTGTGTAAATACAATATAAGATATTAGTCATCATAAAACATTGTCTCTGCCAGCTCATTCAAGTGTTTGGTATTTCATTACATTTAATCAAAATAGCAGATAGGACCAGTGTTATAAAAAGAAACATAATGCTGCATACTGTAGGCTATAGTAGGCTACACATCCCAGATGTTTCAGAAACATCTATCCATCCATTTTCCAAACCTCTTGTTGAGTCACTGGGATGCTGTAAATGCTCAAATGTCTCATGGAAAACACAGCAATGTGCTGTGAGGTTCAGGTAACACCAGTCTTAAAGGTGGGGTAAGTGATTTCTGTTAGCCAATGTTGATATTTCAAATCACCAAAACAAACATGCCTCTACCCCAAAAGGGTCTCGCCCCTATTTTGATAGCTCCGCCCCACACATACGTACACAACCAAGGCAACAATTAGTTCTGTGAAACAAAGCAAAACCAATGTTACACCATGTCAACACCGGACGCGAGTCTATAGAACAAAATAATATAGAACTCATTATAATCAGTGATGCTGTGTACACTGGATGCGGCGCTGCGCGACATGACAAATCCCCGACAGAAAACTGCTGCTGCGTTCTATTTATGACGTATTGACACAAATTTCTTTTGAGTTCTCTTGAGTTCTCTCCAGCGCTGGAAAGCTGATCCGATATTTACACGGGTCCTACTTCTTATCTTATCGTAAGCCTTCTTTAGTTCTGCAGACATTTTCCTCTTTTGTTTTTTATCCACCATCTCTATCTTTCTGTCGTCACTCGGCTCGGCTAATGTCGGTCCTGTGCACTGAGCGCTCTGTCCTCCACATCATGATTAGACACACCCTTTACTGCTGATTGGCTACAAGTTTGTTTTGGTACTGGCCCGACTCAGTTTTCTAAAGCGTTTTTGAAAAAAATACATACACCCACCTATAGCCCACATATTGATCTGGAGTCTCTCCTGGATTTAGCACGTAAATCATATTGGACGCAGTTGTTTTTTACAGATAGGCTATGTTAAATATTGAAGTTTGGTTAATTAAATTGACACTGTATCTTTACTTTGAGCATTCGGAAACAAAACATCTTTCCAACTGTAATCGCGTGTATATATGATTATATTGGAATGTTGGAAATACTTGCGCTGCATGTCATGTGAGAGAAACCGCGGCACGTGTGTGTTTACGGACGGATAGAGGAGGCCTTCTTGCTGTGAGGCGACAGAGCCACTGATCACTGCCACCAATAGCAGCAGAAACATGCATAAATAGTAGGATACTTGGGATGTGGAGTCTCATAAACTGCAACTTTCCTAGATTAGGCTAAAACTTTAAAAGAAATAGAAAATGAAAATGACAAGACCTAAGACAAGAGCAAC